AAACCAAACCCAAAACCCAGCCCTCTTGGGAAAAAAACCGACAACAACCACTACACCGGCCGGGGTCTCCACCTGCACCCTGCGCAGTCCTCCCGACACGTGCAAGCCTGAACTCCTGCGGAACCGTCCCTGCTCCGGGGAACCGGCTAAATAAACCAAACCCAAAACCCAGCCCTCTTGGGAAAAAAACCGACAACAACCACTACACCGGCCGGGGTCTCCACCTGCACCCTGCGCAGTCCTCCCGACACGTGCAAGCCTGAACTCCTGCGGAACCGTCCCTGCTCCGGGGAACCGGCTAAATGTAGCCACGATCTCCCCCACCCTGTCCCACTTGGCTAGAACCCTTCTGCTAGAGACAAACATCGCCAGTCGCAGCACTTGTACCGAACACACCTTGCTTTCCTGTTACGTGACGCTGAAACTTCCTTTAGAGGACACGGTTAACGATGGCTTTACTTCTGAGCTGAGGAATGGATGGGGTGGTGATGACGGGGGTGGTGGTGGTTGGGGGGTGGCTAGCTTTTCTCCTCCCCTTCTTAAAATTAAAAACAAAAAAAAAGGAGAAAAAAAAAAGAAAAAAGCTACAATCTTATAGACTAACCTCAGGAATATCAAAAAAGGAGCCCAATATTTTTTTTTAAGTAGGTCGCCACAGACCTAGTCGTTTACAGTATAACGAATGCGATTATTTCCTTCATAAATTTTAAATACAAGCAGAATAAAAATCACATTTTTTTCAGGCAACAGTAGCAGTTCAGTAGGTAAGTGGCTTGATCACATTTTTTGTTTTGTATTAGTAATGCATGCAAGCAGCTTTAGTATTACAGATCCCTTATAGGTCACGAAACGTTTGCTCTCTTTATAAAGTCCCTCCGTAAGTACCATCTTGTCTTCTCACGGGAGTTTCGGGCCGGCTGGAGGAGCCTGAACCTTGTTCAAAAGGTTGCGGAGTGCTTTGGGTATCCGATGCCATAGCATCTGTGGCAGCTGCCTCCTGTATCACAGAGCCAGCCCCTTCGGCATCCTCGCTCTGTTCGAAGGACTGGCTGGATCCATTGCTCAGCTCTACATTCACCGTGTTAGTTCTCAAGGCTACTATAGTTCCTGAATCGCTCCTCCGTTCTGCATAGATTCGCTGCTCAAAGACCTGAGCAGTGTTGGGCTGGAATTCAGGATCCAGAGGGACACTGTTTGTGGTGGAGCCCATGACCGTGCGGTACATCTCCATCCCCTCCGGCAGCATGGACTTAATCTTCGGCAGCCAGCGCTTGCGGACCCGGCGGGCGTTGGTGCACATATCGGCTGCTATGACATTCATCTCGCTTTCTTTAAAGCTCGGGGCAAAATTCTGACAATACACTGCAAAGACAGGGATACATACAGCTGAGGATTCAGAGAAAGCAACACAAAGGCGGCACAAAGGTGATCACAGCCTCTGCCCCGTCCCAGAGACCTGCGCGAGTCTCAGCACGGGCTGATGCCACGCGCGTGCCAGACCTCTCGCAAGGAGAGACTTACGGACACGGACTCCTCAGCTCAAGACAGAGACAGTCAAGAAGGGATAAAACCAGAAGGCATAAAAATCCCAGGCAGCATGGGGCAGGGGGCTGGAGAAGGTGGAGAAGGAGCACTCACTCCTGGGAACCCAGCGAGCCCCGGAGGTACCAGGCTCCTGCCCGCAGGACCCAGCCTCCAGCCGCAGCGCGGCACCCCCGGC